ATATATATATATATATATATATATATATATATATATATATATAGGGGGCCCTAATTTTTTCTTTGCGGGGGAGCCCTTTTTTTCTAGTTCTGCCACTGATATATATATATATATATATATATATATATATATATATATATATATATATATATATATATATATATATATATATATATATATATATATATATATATATATATATATATATATATTTGTATTATAAACAACTACCGACTTTTTACTTATCACACCGACTGACTGTATCCTTTTGTCATCAAATTTCTTTGTTGCTAATTTTTGGGGGATTTATTCTTCCAACTCAACCTGAAGTCCATACAAGGTGTCACCAGGTTATCCCCAATTTTACTCTTCGACTCCTGTTCAAGCCTGATTTTCTACCTAGATTTTGTTCCAAAACAACTGCCCATCCTTGAACAAACAACAAAGTAGCAGTTTTTTTACTTTATTTATTCTTCTATCCAAGATGGGTTGGTATCTTAAGCTATAGTCCCTAGTCTGCGTGGGGTATGGGCATTAAAATGCCTATGTAATTATCCATTTACTAAAGACTTCTATCGTAATATGACTATATGATTATCTCATCAACTGACTATATATTCATTTCATTCAATGACTATAAATAAATAAATAAATAAATATACTAGCGTACCCGTCCCCCGCGCGTTGCCGCGGGGATAGAAGAAAGTCTGACGAAATATATTAGAAGGATATCACCAATGCATTACCAATCGTATGTTCTTAGACGCGTGACCTTGTTTTCTAAAGCTGTATTATTTAAATGTCAACATTGCCTGCGCTTGGATCATAAATATCGGGACACGGGGTTTCCTACACTAACGCATGAAAACCTTGAGTGTACATTAATCACTCATCGAAATAATGAGGTAGAACACACTTCGGTGACCACCCATGTGTCAAGGACGTATAGGCCCCCCCCCCCCTCCCACCCCACGATTACACTACCGCATAGGCGCAGTGTACGGTCCCTGGCTCCTTAAAAATAACAGGCGCCATCGTGCTCATAGGATAACCCAGCGTGCCAAATAGCATCCTGTAAACAATGATGCAGATTTCGTCATTCACTAAAGTGACACAAATGAACAGGATTTCTTTCTTTAACATGTAAAAAATTATTTGACGTGTTTTAAACATCAGTGTGACTGTTGCAATATGCTAGCGTTACTAATTGTCTATTATTAGATGCTCGATCTCAATTTCTGACTGGATCGTCTAATAATAGATGCTTATTGCATCATTCGCAAAGTGACGAAACTCTACAGTAGGCTCCTCATATTCAAAAAGTTATTTTTTCATCTTTCGCAAGGTGACGAAACTTTACAGGATTTCTTCGCGTTACAAAGTTATTTTTAGAAGCCTGTTGTAGTTTTACCGCTGAATATAGTAGTACCCCTTACTCGCTATGCAGTACGCTCTATTAACGGATGCCAAGTGCCAACATAGTCGCTCTAAAGCTTTGGGCGCCAAACCGTGTTTTGACGAAAATTGTACCCTACATGGCGCCGCCCATAAGAAACTTTAGTTTTCTTTTTCGAAGAAATATTCTCGGGAGTATTCTCATATACTCCCTAAAGTTTCATGGCACCCGGATGAACCGCATCCGAGTTATATTTTTTATATACCGTGTATAGATAAGAAAATCGCTCCCCCCCCCCCCACCCCTCCGGGGGGCGCCGTCCTTGCAATATTAAACACTATTTTTTTAGAACCCTAATAATGTGTAATCTAATCATCTTCCCAAAGTTTCATGGTACATGGATGAACGGTGTAAAACCGAAATTTTATAAACCGTATATAGAGAAAAATCGCACCCTCCCGTGGCGCCGCCCTTGCTAAATTAAATTTTTTTTTTTTTACAGAACACTTCCCTAGAGTGTTCAAATGAAATCACCAAAGTTTCATGCTTATTGGAATAACGGTGTCAGACCAAAATCGAGTTTTATTTTTATATACCGTACATAGAGAAAAATCGCACCCTCCCGTGGCGCCGCCCTAGCGAAATTAAAAACATTTTTTTTACAGAACCCTTTCCTAGAGTTTTATAATGAACTCCCCAAAGTTTCATGCCTATCGGATGAACGGTGTCACTGCAATTAACTTTTATTATTTTTATATACCGTATATAGAGAAAAATCGGACCCTTCCGTGGCGCCGCCCTTGCGAAATTAAAAATTAATTTTTACAGAACCCTTCCCTAGAAAGGTATAATGAACTCCCCAAAGTCTTATGGCTATCGGATGAACAATGCCAAACCAAAATCGACTTTTATTTTTATATACCCTATATATAGAAAAAAAACAAATCGCGCCCTGCCGGGGCGCCACCCCTGCGAATTTGAAATTTTTTTTTTCTTAGAAATCTCCCCAGGAATATTCTCAACAACTTCCCAAAGTTTCATGCCTATCGGTTGAACGGTGTCACTGCAATTCACTTTTATTATTTTTATATACAATATATAGAGAAAAATCGCACCCTCCCGTGGCGCCGCCCTAGCGAGTTAAAAATAATTTTTTTTACAGAACCCTTCCCTAGAGTTTTATAATCAACTCCCAAAAGTTTCATGCCTATCGGATGAACGGTGTCACTGTAATTAACTTTTATTATTTTTATACACCGTATATTAAGAAAAATCGGACCCTCCCGTGGCGCCGCCCTTGCGAAATTAAAAATTAATTTTTACAGAACGCTTCCCTAGAGTAGTATAATGAACTCCCCAAAGTCTCATGGCTATCGGATGAACGATGCCAAACCAAAATCGACTTTTATTTTTATATACGGTATATAGAGAAAAACAAATCGCGCCCTGCCGGGGCGCCACCCTGCGAATTTGAAAAAAAATTTTTCGTAGAAACCTCCCCAGGAATATTCTCAACAACTTCCCAAAGTTTCACGGCGATGTGATGAGAGGTGTAGTAATGCATAAAGGACAGACACACACACACACACACACACACACACACACACACAAACATACATTGCTTTTTATATATATAGAAGATATATATATATATATATATATATATATAAATATATATATATATATATATATATATATATATATATATATATATAGTGTATATGTGTGTGTATGGTTTGTGGTCTGTGTGTATGTGTGTATGTGTGTTTGCATGTGTGAAAAAGAATATTTTTTCTAACAAAATCAAACTTAAAGAAACAGCAGAAAGTGGGTATGTGCTTCTTCCATTTAATGTATAACATGTCAATTTAAATAATATGCCTCTTATCATATATATAGAATATGTATGTTCAAAATAAATAAGTGCTTAGGTTAATTATAATTTCATATATTATTGTGTTATATAAGTGCGTCAAAAAATTTCGAAAATATTTACATTGTTACATTGTTGAATTTACATTATTATTTTTATTTATACTTGAATATAACATACATATTAATATATATATATATATATATATATATATATATATATATATATCTATATATATATATATATATATATATATATATATATATATATATATATATATATATATATATATATGCATATATATGTATATATATATACATATATATATATATATATATATATATATATATATATATATATATATATATATATATATATATATATATATATATATATATATATATATATATATATATATGTATCTTTATATATATATATATATATATATATGTATATATATATATATATATATATATATATATATATATATATATATATATATATATATATATATATATATATATATATATATATATATATATATATATATGTATATATATATACATATATATGTACATATATATTTTTTTAATTTATATATTTTTTGATTAATTAATTAATTTAAATATTTGTTTATATATAAATCGATTATATTAATTATCTGAAACAAATTAGGTATTTTACATTTAGTACACCAAATGCTCAGTGCTTTGTCAAGACGTGACTTTTAATATATCCCGTGGTTTAGATTAAACAATAATTTTTTTTTAGTTTTGATGAAACCAAAAATTTGGTGAAAACTATCCAATCAACAATAATCTCATGTAGTTTTGGTTTGGATCACAGATTCATCGTGGTACTCTCCACCCTTCCGGTGACTGGATTAAGTACAGTACAGTCGTACCGGCGTTACCTGTTGGTAGACATCAGAGAAAATTGTTTTAATGGGATTAATTGACGATCTTTTTCATAAGACACATGTTTGTCTGACGGTGTATTAGTTAATTTTAAAAATGGGTTGAAAATATTTCTAAAGGGACTAATGCTTTTGTTTCATCTAATTCAGCGAAAGAAGTGGATTTTTTTTTGCTTACTTGTATTTCATCTATGGTACTCATAAAAGTTTTATTTCAACTTTTAAAAATGCAACTACTTGAAAATTAAATTTACAATTCTTAACATCGATACATATATTTAATAAAAAAGGTGCTTCTAGTTTCGTATACATTAACCCTTTTACAAGTGTTTATTTCAGCCCTTTTTTTTCCGAAGGCGGAAGGAATAAGGACACTTGAAATTTATGGTGGGGGACGGTCTAAATTTTCCCCGGGACAGATACTGGTAAGAGGTGTCTGAAAGAAAATGAGGAGTTTACCAACTAAATCTACATGAAATAATCCAAATGGTCTTTACAGATAGCGAGCGCTAATGACTCAACCAGAATCTTCATTTCTTTTGATTCTATGCTCTCACTATTTCTACGTGTGTATTAGTTAGCTATATTTTTATATTCTGAAAACTCACTCGGCGACAACAGTACTTTATTCTATAATTTGGTAACTTTGCATTGAAATTAGGTTGTAAAAAACAGAAATGATTTTGTATTACTGTTAATAATTTTCTACCGCGTCTTTTTATGTGTTTAATATCTTTACGTATTGACTCTCTTTAAAGCAACATTCTAGCAGAGGCAATACTCAAAAAATTTTTTTTTTTAAATAACTGCATACACTAAGCGTTTTCCTTGGAGTACATGACTGTAAGGTCTATCCCGGGGCCTGGTCGGTACCAAGGTCGCCAAGTTTTGATCCTCTCTCCGATGTCTTTCAGGAAGATCCAAGACAGTGGGAGGATGTATGTCCGTGACTCGAGGAGGAATCGTTGGGCGGTCCTGAAGCCGAACCTGAAAGGTAGGTCATACAAAGTGGTTTTAGGACAAAGCTGAAATGTTGCTCTTTCAAAGGGTTTTGAGGACAATCATGAAAGGTGGTTCATACAAAAGGGTTTAATGACAAACATGAAAGGTAGTTCATACAAAAAGGTTTAAGGACAAACATAAAATGTGGTTCACACAAAGTGGATATAGAACAAAGCTGAAATGTTGCTCTTACAAAGGGGTTTTAGGACAATCATTGGGCTTTAGGACAATCATTAAAGATGGTACATACAAAGAGGTTTTAGAACAATCATAAAAGATGATACATACAAAGAGGTTTTAGGACAATCATTAAAGATGGTATATACATAGAGGTTTTAGGACAATCATTTAAGAATATACATACAAAGGGGTTTTATGACAATCATGAAAGGTGGTACATACAAATGGGTTTTAGGACAATCATTCAAAAAGGTTTTAAGACCATCATAAAAATTGTCTCATACAAAAGGGTTTTATGACAATCATAAAAGGTGCTTCATACAAACGGGTTTTAGGATAATCATGAAAGATGGTTCATACAAAGGGGTTTAAGGACAAACATAAAAGGTGGTTCATACAAAGGGGTTTAAGGGCAATCATGAAAGGTGAAAGGTTGCTCATACCAAAGGGTTTGGGGACAATAATGAAATATGCTTTTATACAAAGGGTTTACAGTACTGATTACGAGCTCTTGGAAAAATGTTGTAGGCATAAACATATCAACATAAATAAGCATTTGTAATGCTTTGTAAAATGGTTGTAATGTGTAAATTACTAGACCTACTATTATAAACAAGTTAATCAATTTTTAAAATAATGTCTGTTTGTTTTGAAATCCAATTAAGTATCAAGTTTATCTAGACTAAGCAAAAACTGCTATTTCTTTAACTTGTGTGTTTAATTATAGAGCATCTAGGTATTGATTTCGTTTATACTAAACTTATGTTTCAAATTTATGAGGACTTTATATTGGTAATACTACAATCAATCAATAATTCAATGTATTACTTTTTGAAAACGTATACAAAATCGAAATTGAATTTTATTTAATATAAAGTTAATTAATGTTTATAAAACAATTTAAATAAAGTCGATTCATAATGTAGACGTTGCCTAAAACAAAACCAACATACCACGTGTAGAAGTCACTCCTCTCGTGTAGGTCACTACTCAGACTGTAAACTACTTCCAGAATGTTGCAGACAAACGTAGCTGCCACCGCCAGTACATACGGCAAGACATTATCAAGTGGACTTGTACGGTTGATTAACTCCACCTCCATGGAACCCCCAGAAGACTCAATGAGCAATCTTTGACGTCTTAGATACAACGCGATGACTAGGAGGATAATGACCATGAGGATAGGTAAAACGGAGTCGAGAATTTTAAAAATCATCAAGGAGCTGTAGGTTGGAAACACGCAGGTGTAGGATATCTTGTGAAGGTTGAGAAACTCGTCGTGGTAAACTTTCATGATCACGGGTACTGTTAGTATTGCTATGATCATAGGTGATACCACAAGAAGTACAGGGCCGATTTTATGAAATGTTGGATTCACGTAGACCGAAACATCAATGTCTTTAATCTGGATGATGTATAAGATAAATATTATAACCAGGTACCAGTTGCTACAGAAGTCGAGGACGCACTGCAAGTGGTACATCAGCTCAACGAGAATACAAACATTGCGATCAACTTGTCTTAAATTCAAAGACAGCTCCAGCGGTGCCAGAATGGAAGATTCGGCTATGTTACAGACACACAGGCATGCTAGAATTTTATTCCTGATCCTTGACCGGATGTCTGATGACGTCAAGATGGCCAGTAGGAGCCAGATGTTGATGACGTTGCCAAGAATGATACAGAGACTGTCCGAAGAGATGTACACACGTAACACAGCCTTCAAAAAATTCTGCAGCCTTACGCTGGGATGCCAGTCGGTACCATTGGTTGTGTTCATGGTGTCTACGTTCTTGAACAAAGTAACGTTAGAATTTCAATTGTGTTTCTGCATTCAATTTACACCTAATCCTTCAGTAATTGTACTAGAATTAGCTGATCTGAAAAAGTTTTAATATATAAATTTAACGACAAAATGTCATTTGTATAAATCTTGTTTCTATAAATAAATAAATAAATATATACATTTATTAATATATAAATAAATAAATATTTAAAGATATATATATATATATATATATATATATATATATATATATATATATATATATATATATATATATATATATATATATATATATATATATATATATATATATATATATATATATATATATATATATATATATATATATATATATATATATATATATATTATATATATATATATATATATATATATATATATATACTAGCTCCGCCACGGTTAATCTTTTTTAAATGTACCAACTTGGGAACAGAACAAAACTAAACACAACACAAACACAAACACAAAAACAAAAACAAAAACAAAAACAAAAACAAAAACAAAAACAAAAACAAAAACAAAAACAAAAACAAAAACAAAAACAAAAACAAAAACAAAAACAACACAAACACAACACAAACACAACACAAACACAACACAACCCCAATACCACCACAACACAACCACATCACAACCACAACACAACCACAACAAAACCACAACACAAACACAACACAACCACAACACAACCACAACATAACCACAACATTAGAATCACCACCGAACAACACGCTTTCCTAGGCGTCCGCGCAGAAAGAGAGCCTTTCCAGCATAAAAAAAATTAAGTCAGATAAATAGATCCCACTCCATAACTTGCAATAAAACAATGCGATGCAAATAAATGTACGGTGTTTACTTTTATGGTTCTAAGAAAACACATTGGCAATGTAACTAGAATCAAAGAATCACTACACAAAAAAACACGCTTTCCCAGGCGCCTGCGCCCAGAGAGAGCCTTTCCAGCATTCGCTATACTATAATTTTACCATCTGTTAACACCGAAAAACAAAAACAAAAATAGTGATTTTTACAGATCATAGACTAATTAGAAAATAATATGAATAATCTTAACATTTTTCTATTTTACTTATGAACCTTAACATATAATAATCAATGCTTTAGCAATTAAAAAAATTAACTTAAATAATTGAGAGTGAGTTGAATATTAAAAACACGTTTTCCCAGGCGGTAGTAGTAAAAAATAAACCGGGAGTGATCTCCCCTAAACTTTCTCGAATATTCTTATATAAAACAACAGGGGATGGGAACTCGGGATATAGTTATGATTTTTAATCCATTTTAAATACTTAAACTTTTTAAAATAAAATAGAATCTCATAGAAAACAGTATTGCACACAAAGCGAACGCCGAATAAAGATGTTCATAATGGTGCGCAATATTATTAGTACTTTGTAAATTTAGATGCGATTTTGAGAAATCGGAAATAGCGTAAATTAGTACTTCCCGTCAACGGAAATTACTCAAAATTTGACAGAACGAAGAGAATTAGATTTTTTACTTACATGTGAAATTTCATTTATCTATCTGAAATAGTATTCAAGTTATAGGCTTTTGAAATATTCAAAGTAGAAAAAGTACTACTTCCGGTTATCGGAAATCGCTCAAAAGTTGATACGGATCTACGATTTTGATAAAATACTTATATATGAAATTTCATCAACCTAGCTGTAACGGTACTCAAGTTATCGTGTTTACACACACACAGACACACACACACACACAGACATACGGACAAGATTGCAAAATTATGTTTTTCCGTATCAGTGATCTTTTTTTGCACGATTACAAGACTTTCTCTATACTTCGTTTATACGAGAAAGTAAAAATATATAACTTAAATTATTGATGAGTTACATTTATTTTTAAATGACCTCCCTTGCAAAAATTACAAAAAAAAACAGTTGAATTAATTAGTTTTTTCTACCTACTGTTATGAAAATGTATCAACTTTTTCTAAGAATGAAAATGTAAATATTATTTGAAATTGATCGTTTTTAATATGTTTTAGTATTGTGCGTGTATTTAATATTTTCTTTACGTTATGCAAAAAAGTGAAAACAATGGCAACTATAAAAAAATGTCTTTATATAAATAAACCCTACTCTATTACCATACTGCAAAAAACATAAAAAATGCAATATTTAATTTATGGTTCCAAAATATATAGCGATGACGGAAGACTGACACACTACTAGCTCGCTTATATTATAGACATAAAAATTTAATTTACACAGACATATACATATAAATGTATTTAGACATGTATGTATATGTATATATGTAAATGTATATATGTATATTCATAGATATATAGGCATATATATATATATATATATATATATATATATATATATATATATATATATATATATATATATATATATATATATATATATTCTGTGTGAATTTAAAGTTTACATTAGGCATAAACAATTTTTAAAATTAAGTGATCCAATCGAATTCACAAGAACGATGTTCCGACAATAGAGTGTATTTAGATAACTCCCCCATTATAAAAAATAGGAACATACAATACGAACCTTGCCGAGACGATAGTCAGTTGGAACATGAAAACCGACCCCAGAGTTTATCGTTTTGGTGTCAGTGGCACAAGCCGGTCCCAAGCGCCAGAGGCGGAACATGAGATGGGCCTCAATCTGATAACAACTTAAAGAACATACTGAATGTATAGCTAGTAAACCAATAAAGGAGTATACGCTTTTTAATTTGCGTATATTTATATATATATATATATATATATATATATATATATATATATATATATATATATATATGTATATATATGTATATACATATATATATATATATATATATATATATATATATATATATATATATATATATATATATATATATATATATATTGACATGTATGATAGATGCTTACACGCCTTGTAAAAGTGTATGCTTATAACCATATCCAGTTAACTGTTTACTCTAGAACACGACAACGAATAACTTGCCCTTGTTGTTATTCAGCCTATATACACAGCCTATGGGTTGCCTGTCCTGTTCTCTTGGCCTGAATGCTTCCACCTATCTGCTATCTAAGCTGCTTCGGTTAGGTTAAGCTATTTGTCGTTACGGCTTTCTCCTATTTGGGTTACGATAATCTATTTGTTTTTATGACTTTATCCTTAGTTGTATTGGTTATGTCTATTTGTCTTTATTGCTGTAGTATATAGTACACGTTTTTGCCTGATCATTTTTAATACATTTGAGTTTCAATATTAAGAACCTTACTTTTAATTGGTTGTTTCAACTCATTGATACTTCACCTGGTACCTTTAAGTGGCATTCATTAGATTTATAAATTACTCGAACTTATAAAAAAACGAGATTTTTGTTCTAACACTCAAAGCGGTTCATTTCGTTTTACGAACTTGAAATATATTTACATGTATATACTATAGGTTGTATCCGTTTAGCCTTTTATCCGCGTGTCTATTAACACAAACTTTTCTATTGTCTATAAAGTCGACACTCCACGCATCATATAACGTATAACAAATGCGTTGTATTGACGTTCTCAATATCACATACCGTATCTCAGCGTCCTTCGCACATCATCGAGAGCTGTCTTCTCGGTTGATGAGAGTGAGGTTAAATAAACACGTTTTTATTTGTGTCGAATATACTTTACATTGTTTTAAGCGTTCTTTATTTTGTAAACAGAAGATAGTTACCAAGCACAGAAGTAATGTTTATGTACTGTGCTAATTCTTAATATTGAATTAAACTGATAAGAAACAATATTAAATATGAGAAATATCAATTGGAGTTATCATTTCCTGTGTATGTTATTGAAAACTTTTCTAATACATGAAAGAAAGATTTACTACTTTTCTTCCGATATGAATGTCTGTCACGTTGAGTACCTCCTGAACTCTAGTCTCACCTTGCACAACTGTGAACCGAAACCTGTGCAAATGTACTAACACCTGCCCGAAACCTGTGCAGGTGTACTGACACCTGCCCGAAACCTGTGCAGGTGTACTCACACCTGCCTGAAACCAGTGCAGGTGTACTGACACCTGCGCGAAACCTGTGCAGGTGTACTCACACCTGCCAGAAACCTGTGCAGGTGTAGTCACACCTGCCCGACACCTGTGCAGGTGTACTCACACCTGCATGCGGTCAAGCGTGCAGGTGTAAGTACACCTGCACAGGTTTCGGTAAGATGTGAAATGCTCAGCTTTTAACCACACACTCGTGGGTGAGTAATGCTGGGCGTTCGACTTCACACAGTATCAGGGCGATGTTCATGTGATCAGAGGGAGCTTCTTCATGCCCAGAAGGGTGTAAAGCTTACGTAATCTGTATTCATCAGAGTTTCTTTCTTACACTCCCCCCTCGCTCCCCCACACCCCCGCGAAGCACGTCTACCTTCCCCCGGAAGTATATACTCCTACAAATGGCCGCACTCTCTCCGAAACCTTAAGCCCCACCTCCCACCTCCATAACCACCCAAAGTTCCAAGCACCCCCTCCCTCCCCCCAACAGTAAACAATAATATAAACAAAAAAGCACGTCAAAAGGACGTTCCACATCTAGACCACGCTTTCTAACCCCAATTTTATTGCCGCCGTTAGCGGTTATGTCGCCTCTCAGACTCAATTTGGCAGGCTGCCTATATTTACTTTTTTTAACGTCAGTTCTGAATGCAACATTTTTCAAAAAAAAAATTATATTAGTAATAGTAGTTTATTCAATTCTATTAATAAGGCAGCAAAAACTAACAAATCAAATAGAATTAGTTAAGGAAGAAACAGTATACATTTGTTTAAACATTGTTGACATAGTCCAACTAGCTCCTCTATCAAATGAAGTGAAGGGCAAACCGTAACTGCCGGCTTAAAAAAATTAAAGGAGAGTTTATACGAAGGCGTATGATACTTCGGAAGTTGACTTAATTATCAAATTAAGTGCAAGCAAACACACACACACACACACAAACACACACATATTTATATATAGGCTATATATATATATATTATATACATATATGTACACGTACAGCTGCATCGACACGTACACGTACACGTACACGTACACGTACACGTACACGTACACGTACACGTACACGTACACGTACACGTACACGTACACGTACACGTACACGTACACGTACACGTACACGTACACGTACACGTACACGTACACGTACACGTACACGTACACCCACACCCACACATGCACCTGCACCTGCACCTGCACCTGCACCTACACCTACACCTACACCTACACCTACACCTACACCTACACCTACACCTACACCTACACCTACACCTACACCTACACCTACACCTACACCTACACCTACACCTACACCTACACCTACACCTACACCTACACCTACACCTACACCTACACCTACACCTACACCTACACCTACACCTACACCTACACCTACACCTACACCTACACCTACACCTACACCTACACCTACACCTACACCTACACCTACACCTACACCTACACCTACACCTACACCTACACCTACACCTACACCTACACCTACACCTACACCTACACCTACACCTACACCTACACCTACACCTACACCTACACCTACACCTACACCTACACCTACACCTACACCTACACCTACACCTACACCTACACCTATACCTACAACTTTAAATCAAGCCGTTTCATTTACACAAAACACGTTGCACACACATTATGTATTTGTCGGATTTCTTCTTTGTAAGTCTTATCTTAATGTACAAGGGATTCGTAATTGCTGTGAGTCCACCTTAATGGCGACACAATATCCCGCCTCTGATTTTTGGTGACGACTAGTACCATGAGCACCACAATGATAAAACCTGGAGTTCATTTCTTTCCATTAGGATGAACGAGTGTGACATAAACACACTGACGCAGTGATAGAGCTTACTATTTTACTTCTTTTCGACGTTCTACTCTTCAAATTAAGACCTAAACTTTACACTTTTAATATTTATCCAAGTATTATATACCAATACGTTATATATATATATATATATATATATATATATATATATATATATATATATATATATATATATATATATATATATATATATATATATATATATATATTTAGGGCGCTATTTTTTTTTAATTTCATTTTGTTTTATAAATATGTATATTTATAGGCATATATGCATACGTACTTACATATATGCTATACATGTATATTCAGTTTTATAGATATATATATATAATTATGTAAATTTATTCGTTTTTTATAATCATTTCAGATTAGCATACCCGAGGAAAACTATTAACAATTGACTTCTACAACAACGAGTACAGAACAATCAACGTAAATTTTGTTTTCTCAAGTAATATTTTTTTTGTGCAAACAGCCCATCATTATGAATGAAACAAATAGCAGTGACTGGCAACCGACCCCCGAGGAGCGAGATTTCTTTTATAAATTATACTGTGTCTATATATCTTCAGACAGTCTGAGTTTCATACTAGGAAACATCATCAATGTCTGGCTTCTGATTGCCATTTTGACTTCATCGGAGATGCGATTAATGCTGAGGAATAAAATTCTGGTTTTTGTATGTATCTGCAACGTTGTCGAGTCTTCAATCCTGGCGCCTTTGGAGATGTCCTTGAACTTAGAACTCGCGGATTCTAGAAATTGTATTACCGTTGAGCTGATGTTTCACCTGCAAAGTTTCCTCGACTTCTGCAGCAACTGGTACCTGGTTATAATATTTATCTTATACATCATCCAGATTAGAGACATTGATGTTTCCGTCTACGTGAATCCGACATTTCATAAAATTGGCCCTGTACTTCTCATGGTATCTCCTATGATCATAGCTATACTAACAGTTCCCGTGATCATGAAAGTTTACCACGACGAGTTCCTCAGACTTCACAAGATATCCTACACCTGCGTGTTTCCAACCTACAGCTCCTTGATGATTTTCAAAATTCTCGACTCCGTTTTACCTATTCTTACACTTATCATCCTCCTTGCCATCGCGTTGTATCTAAGACGTCAAAGATTGCTGATTGAGTCTTCTGGAGGTTCTATGGAAGTGGGGCTGATCAAACGTACAAGTCCACTAGATAATGTCTTGCCGTATGTACTGGCGGTGGCAGTCACGTTTCTCTGCAACATTTTGGACGTGACGAAAAGCCTTGGCGGCGAAATTCTTATCCCAATTGACCTCAAAGTTTGGTATGTTTATTTTGTTTCTGTAAACTATTGTTAAAGTTTTTAGAAACTAATATCAGTTACAAGAATTGATAAAACACATTAAATGGAATATCAATGAATAGTAGATGGTGTGCGCTAGAATGCGACGAAAACCGAAAATCGCGAGTTCGGTACCCGTTATAAACATGGCTAGATGTTTTTTGAACTGTCTTTTCTCACTTATTTCCGTAAGCCCTTATTCGACCTTTACTTTCTAACTCATGTTCTTAGAGCGTTTTTTTATGAACTGTATTTTCTAACTCATTTTCTTAAGCCAATTTTTGTAACAGTCTCACTTTGATGAGAGGTTATAGAAAAAGATGAAAGGGTGGTCTAGCGTTAGCTCGGCACTTGTGGAAACGGACATTTTCCAGATAAACGTTCGCCCGAATGTTTTCTGGCTTTCCCTCATTCGGGTAAATTTCCATTCGGTAGAATAGCCTCATGCATGATCTTTCCCAATTTAGAACTTTGGCTTAGACCCTCTCAAATGTCATTCTTTACAAATATCGTTCTAAATATAGTGATGGGTTTCCAGTTTACTAACATTCGGTTATTACCTAGGGAAAAAAAACAATAGGCTTTAGAAAATTATTTGTGTTTTTACTACATGCATACTCTAAAAAAAACAATGGTTTAAAAATCGTTAAGTTAGTCGATGATTTTATTTTATTACAGGTATATCTTTGTAACAGTTAACCGATTCCTCCTTGAGTCTCGAACCTACACTGTACCCTTGTCTTGGATCTTCCTGAAAGACATCGGAGAGAGGATCAAAACTTGGCGACCTTGGTACCGACCCGGCCCCGGGATAGACCTAACTGTCGTGTACTCCAAGGAAAGCGCTTAGTGTACAAGGTTTTCATGTCAGCTATGTAGCGAGAAAACGTTTAAATTGCGCAAAAAAAAATCGAAATTTAAATTTCGACTACTCTGAGCTTTTTACGCCTTTCTAGGTTTCGCGGTTGGGAAACATAAAATTGAACTGGGTTGCCCGTTGCGAAATTACTAAAAGCAGTAGAGAACCGAGACAGATTGGAGAAAATTATAAGAAAATTGACTGTAGCGCACCTACAATCTAAAAATTTTAAAGGATGTTTAATTTTGACGGAATTGTTTTTTTTCGGCGATCTTCTCTGTGTGTCTGTTTACGTATAGGTCCGTGAAAACAATAAATTAACTGTCATTTTATACAGCTTGCAGGAATTTCATTTATAAATTTAATATCTAATTTGCATTTTTTTTTTATATTTGCGAGCGATTCTCGTCAATCGGAAGTGGTTCTAACTTTATTTTCGGTTTCTCAAATGCTTAAAAATGTAGTACCTTATTAGTTAAATGGTCGAAATTTAGCGTGCAATCAGCATCATTGATATAATATAACTGTTCGAGTATGCAATGATAGAGCGGATGCAAAAGCGTGTGTTAGCTAACACCGATGTTATATAAAATATAAATCTAGTGTGTATCTACAAGACGAGTGCAATAGTATTCTAACGATGGTTAGCTAGCTTGTAGTCGGAAACAGGTAACCTACTGGATTTTAATGTAAGAAAAGTAAAGTTCCCTTTCAAAACTGACGGTCTATGGGGAAAGTGAAGGAGAGTTCAGTTTTTTCTGTGACCTCGGCATATTTATGAAGGGATGTTGTAGTCAGCACTATGCCCAGCCGCCTTTACTTTCCCTAACGTCTGCTGACTTGAACCCGGATTTAAAATCGAGACTTACGGGTTAGCATTACAGCTTTCTACCGCTAGACCATTCCGTCCCCCTGATTACAATGTAGACGTGTCATAATGTAATTTTATTTTTAATTTTCGATAGAGTTAATTTTGTTGGTAAAAAAAATGGTAATCAAAACGTTTATACTTTGTGTTCGTTTACCTTAAATTTAAATTATTAATATTTATTTTATGTTACTATAGATTCAATGAGGCATGAGTTCTGTTGTACTGTTTCCAAATTAAAACCAAACTGAACAAGTCAATGAATAGATCAAAATAATTTTGACGTATTTTCTGTTTGTTTAACTATTTGCACACAATCGTATTACATTGTGTAACCAACAAAGACAAAATAACTAAAACCGAAAATCTCAACAAAACATTATTTTAAAATATAATAATTTTACTTATGTTTTTTTCAGCATGTTACCCATTCCACAGTGAAACTACTTGTCTTCAGATTTAACACAGAAAATATGGTTGCGAATTGATATTCGCCCTGTAAGGAACTGAGACGCCTGAATTTCTACATTAAATCATCATCATATTTCTATAGTGTCCAAAACAAATCGACATCGAAAATGTTTTCCTCTTTTGCCGGTCTCTTGTAACTTTCTAGACAGTTACCTCAGACAGCCTGGCTCCAGAGGCGCAGCGAGGGGCACGGGGGGGGGGGGGGGACTTATGGGGCGCCAAAATTGGTTGCAAAAACTCATTGGAAAATTAATGGGGGGTGCAAATCGGAAGTTTGAGGGGGTGTGTGTAAATCGGAAGTTTGAGGGTGGGGGTGCAAATTGAAAGTTTGTGGGGGGTGGTGCAAATCGGAAGTTTGAGGGGGGGGGGGGGTGCAAATCGAAAGTTTGTCCCCGGGCGCCGGGAAGGGTCGCTACGCCTCTGCCTGGCTCTTGTCAGGTTTTCTGTTGTGATCCTTCACGTCTACCTTGGTCTTGACCTTTCCTTCCCGCGACCAATACAGTACCATCTCTGGGACATCATCTCCTTTAATCATCAAAACGTAACCCACCCAGCACTATATGCTTTTTCCCATCTATTTTTAAACCAGTTTCCATTTCCATTTCTCCCAATAATTTATCATTTGAGATGGTGTTGGGCCAGTGGATGTCTTTTTTCCTTCGCAAATACTCTGGAAAGAATCCGGTGATCGGATAGTAACGAGGTGCTTTCCGGCATCCGCTAGACTCTAAGTACATAACGTTAGAAAAGTCTGCATTTGGTCTTGGGGAAAATTTTCTTCCATCCGTTGCTTGCTTTAGAGATGCGTGTTTTAATTTCAGTAATGCCGTCTCCTTTAAAAACTGATTATATACCCAAAACATGTAAAGCCTTTAATTTCATCCACTTGTGTATTTTTTTAATTTTATTATATTCTTAGCTACACGAATTTCACATAAATAAACACTGATAATATTAACGGGACTTTTAACTTAACTGAAATGAAAATAAACATTATATACCAATACATGTGTTAGTAGTTGTTGATCTATCAAACCTGGCTGTGTGTGAAGAGTACTCTGGTGCACTGGCCCATTGAATCAGGTAGTCCTGATTGTACAACGTGTGTAAGTGATGGTGTAAAGAAAGGTGGTAGTGATACTGTGACTTAAGAGAGATGTGACTAAGATATTGAGACTGAGAAGATGAGAGAGATTGTGACTTTAGAGAGATGCGGATGGGAGACTGGGACTAATCGATTGTACGAACTTTTTGTAATAGATTGACGATAGAAGCATGTGATTGTATATAAAACGTTTATTGGCCTCCAACTACATGATAATAACGAGAGAGAGGGCGGAAGTGACGAGACACAAAGATATATATACATATAAGGGACATCACTCAAGATAACAGAGTGAGTTCCCTTGACTTCACATGTCTCACTATATTACATCCATTTACCCTTAGTAAACACAACACATCTCTCAATAGAACAATTTACAGTATCCTAAAATCACCAATTATATTGTAACATGAACACTATGGTAGATTACATCCTTACAAACAATGCACAATATGTTACAACATAATTAAAATACAAAACAATGATGTCAAAGTCCTTTTGACCTTTAAAATCATAGGTCTAACTTATTTGGGACTTTGATTGTCCTGCTTGACCTTCTCAGTGGCTTTTGATTTGGTGACTCAAGATTCTGACCATATGGATTCTCTATCTCGGGAGGTCTAGGATTTAAATCATTAATTCCAGAATTTACATTTTCTGACTCCAGACTACTTGGTTCACTCATATCAACAGAACTTGGATGTGGAACAAACTGAGTTGGTGTGAACTGATCAGATTTGGTGGGATTGATAGATTCACACTTATTATCTGCACAAGTTATTTTTAACTGGTCTGCATGTCTACGGACAATAAGTCCATCATTTGTTTTTACTTTATAAGACACAGGTCCTGTACATTGAACAATTTGACCTGGTATCCATTTTTCCTTTCTCCCATAATTTCTTAGATACACATTATCATTAACTCCAAATTCTCTTTCAATGGATGTCTTGTCATGATTTAATGGAACTATTTTTGAATTGGCATCTGAAAGTATTATGCTGTTATTCAGATCCTTAACTGACATAGATTTCTTTGCTTGATCAATTTTCTCAGGTAATCTGATAGTGCTTGTTGGTAACCAAAAACACTGTTTAAAAGTACTATCCTGGACCATATCAATTTGCAACTGTGATCCAGTATTTGAAGTGGGTGTATTAAATGGCAAAAATCTTTTTTTTTCTTTTGATGTTACCCTTTTAGTTTCTGTAAGTGCTAATGATGTTAGCAAAGTTGTTTGATGATCACATTCCATCTTACTAATGTATTCTCTTTAAAAGCATTTGAAATTGCCATATCACCATAATCATTTATTAAGTTACAAATACTTTGTTTAGGCAACTCTGACTGATAATGGACTGCATCTTCTCCATCTTTTATATTATCTTCACAAAGGTTTTTATTTCTTATTTTATATGACCTTAAGTCATCATTCACAGACTCTTCAGGCCAACCATTCTTACAGTAATCAGATACTTTTATTAAGCACTCATCTTTTTGTGTTTCTCTTTTAATATCATTCACATTTATATTGGAGTTATCCATGATAGTGAAAAGAACAAATACTTCTTCTGGTACATAACTAAGGCTTTGGTTTTTTAAAGGTAATCGACTAAGACTATCTGCACTATTCTCAGATCCAGGTTTGTATTTCAATTCATAATTGTATGCAGTTAGTGTGATAGCCCATCTTTAAATTCTTGGTGAGGCATGCTCAGGTAGGGTTTTGTTTTCTCCAAATAAACCTAGCAATGGTTTATGATCTGTAAAGATGGTGAACTTCCTACCAAACAGAAACTTATGAAATTTCTTAACACCAAAAATGATGCCTAAGCCTTCCCTATCTAACTAAGAATAATTTTTCTCAGCCTGGTTCAAAGATCTACTGGCAAAAGCAATGGGTCTGTCACCCTTTTCATCTATGTGGGATAAGACTGCTCCTACACCATCAGGTGAAGCATCACATGTTAATATAAGTCTTTTCCCTGGGTCATAGTGAGTTAGTAAGGTGTCAGAAGACAAAGCTTCTTTTGCTGTATTAAAAGCAGCTTCTTGTTGTTTACCCCAGTGCCAAGTTGCATTTTTCTGTAGCAGCTTGTACAGTGGTGATAGTTTACCAGACAGATTCCCTATGAACTTTGCATAGTAATTTATCAAGCCCAAAAAAGCTCTTAGTTGTTGGGTATTTTCAGGTTTGGGTGCTTCTTTAATGGCTTTTGTTTTCTCAAGTTGAGGTCTGATACCTTGCTTGCTTAATATATAACCAAGAAAACTAATTTCTGTCAGCATGAATTGACATTTATCTTTGTTTATCTTTAAACCTTTTTCACCAACTATTTTCAATACTTTATCAAGTGTTTTAAGATGTTCAGTGTCATTCTTACCAGTTATGTACACATTGTCAAAGTAAACACAAACATTTGGAATATCCTCAAAAATACTGTCCATGACAGCCTGGAAGATTCCAGGGCTGGATGATATACCAAAACATAGTCTTTCATATTGGTAGAGTCCTTTATGTGTGTTTATTGTCGTATAGACTTTTGAATCTGGATGCAGTTCTAGTTGAGTGTAAGCATGACTAAAGTCTAATTCAGTGAATTTGTCTCCTCCTGCCAAATTCAAAGAAATTTCCTCAATGTTAGGAATAGGGTACCTATTTAGCTCTATTTGCTTATTCAGTGTAGCTTTATAGTCTCCACAAATTCTTACAGAACCATCCTTCTTTAACACTGGCACAATGGGCGTTGCCCAATCGGAATAGTCTACCTTCTTTATGATGCCATTAGATTCCAATCTACTTAGCTCATTTTCAATTTTATTCCTCATTGCATAAGGTGGAACTCTAGCTTTGCAGTATCTTGGATTTGTGTCTTTAATGCTTATCTTCACTGTTCTATCATTTAGTAATCCTGAATTACCAAAAACACTTTCATTTTCAGATATAACTTTATCTATTGAAGTAAAACTAGATTCTCTTGCTTTGATCACTGAAAATATATTCTCCCAATTTAACTTAAGATCACTTAACCAGTTCCTACCTAGTAATGGTGGTCCATTTCCTTCAACCACAAGAAGAGGAAGTTTAACACTTTGACCATTATAACTTACATGAACCATACACTCTCCTAATACCGGAACATTGTCACCAGTGTATGTTGTTAGACACTTGTGACATGGTTGTAGAGGCACTGATCCTCCTGTGACAGCGTCAAAGTCCTTCTTTGTGATGACTGTTAGAGATGCTCCAGTGTCAAGTTGGAAGCTGATGCTCTTACCGTTGATATTAACTAGTACATTGATGGGAGCATGATTTATTGATTTCACAGAGAACAGGTTGAAATCCGGCTGCGAATCAGTTTGAGCATTTTCACAGGTAGATTGGTTCATTGGTTGGGTTAGGTAGTCTTGGTGAGAGTTAACATAGTACTGCCTTTGGTTGCGGTACTGTCTTGACTGGCTAGATTTAGCAACAGACGAAGACTTTGCAAAGCAGGCCTTAGCAATGTGACCTTGCTTACTGCACTTATAACAAGTAGCTGACTTGAACTTGCATCGATGAGATGCATGGGGACCTTTGCATCGATGACATTTTTGATAATTATTACTAGATTTAGATCTAGGCTTTGAACGTGCAGGCTGTTTAGCATAAGTTGAAATGCTCTGATGGGGTTGGTGTTTGTTGACTAACCTGCTGTTTACTGCATGGATCTCTGAGGGCGTTAGAGATTTTGCCGCCTCGGATGACTGCTGGAATGAAGTCGCAAGTTGTATTGCTTTTTCCAATGTGAGATCTGACTCGAGAAGCAATTTTCTTTGAACATCAGGACTGTTTACACCTGTCACAAACTTTTCACATAGTCTGTCAGACAGCGTGTCTCCGAATTCACAAAATTCACTTAAATGACGTAAAGCAGCAACATATTCTGAT